AATACGGTGTATTTGCCTTAAGAAGGCTCTTCACGGTTGTATCCGTTCTTAAAGCACCATCAATCACGTGCTTCTCCGTGCTGATTTAAATTGGTGCGATAGCTTGCTTTTATACTGTTAGCTGTGTCGGCACGGTACTTAATTATCATTTTCTCGCTTGCTGTTTTTCTTTTTACCTCGTAAATAGCAGATCAGCACAATGTGAGGATTTCTTAATCTCCTTTGGCAAATAGGGAAGACAGCGAGTCCCATCCTTAACTTTTCTTAGCAACAGCTTTCACATTTTGGTACGATACATGCAGAGAGCGAGGTGCTACTTGCATTTTCTTAGCAACCATCTGAATTGCTCGTGTTCAATGACGTATGATACGTCTCAAAATTGAATATATTTCTGAACACACGAACTTCCTTGTTCCGTATTCTGTACTTCCTCGATAGAAATATTTTGTTCTCTTCTCTGTCTTCGTATTTGCGTCCATTTTTGTAGTCTTCGTAGAGAGCCCGTAATTTCTTTGCTTTTTCATCCTCCATTGGGGTGCTGCAATTTGCCGGTCAATACCGCAAAGTAGCCGCGAATGAAAGGAGGCTGTCAAATCTACAGAAAAATTATGATCGTGTTAGCAACAGCATTTGAAACATGACAGCTCATCGCCAAAAGAACATGCACTCGTTAAAATCAGCAACGCTTCAACAACATAGCAATGAAGAATTAACTTATCGCCTCGCTACACATCGCATGTTTTGCAGACATAAATGCTCCCTCATTTCTGATCAGGCCCACGCAACGTATCAACAGTTTCATCTCTTAGATAAGTGGTAATACACGCTTTGTACGTAAAAACATCAAATTCCTCTTCAGCTGCTCAATGTGTGTCATCCTATCACATATTTCGGCACGTTAACGCCCATTTCACATTTTTATTTGACCCGGCAAGGCCGTCCAGGTGATGCAATGCACAGGTCCCATTTCAACATATACGCATTCTGCCCATATTTAGTGCCGTACATACCCGTTCTGTTTATGTAACCCTGCTTTCCGATTGACCTGTCAAACCGTGCTAACCTGTCCTATGATAACATCTGTACCATGCCCGGCTAATTGCTGTTAACGAGTATTCTATTCATATTTTGGCAGCTCCTGTCATTGCCAACAATTAAATACAGGAAATACTGCTAATGCGCTCCCACCACTTGACATTCAGCATTCTCCTTATTAGCAGAAATCATGGCGCATCTCTAACATTTCTCCGTGAGTTACACGGCACGCCACCCCATGTTCAGTTTGCTCGTAAATGAATTATTGGGTGGTCTTGAGCAACCCCGTCGTTGATTGGGCACTCTCCCATGCATGCCGTTCGTTCAAATATGATATGTTTATCAATATTTCAATGTTAAAAGGAGTAGCTAACAAACACTGAGATACATTCTAATTAGTTCATTAGCTGCGTAAACTATATAAGGAAGGAAAATAAATGCTATATGTACCTTACCGTCCTACTATTTATAGCAATATTTTTAGTGTTCATCATAGTTGTAGGATTCGCAGCTGGTTATGTATACAGCGTAAAAAAGAACAAAGAGGAAATGAACAGATTGATGGATTCACAGCAGGCAAAGCAAATGGGACTAGACAATGCTTTGAAAGATCATTTGAAGAACAAAGATGCTGAGATTGATAACAGCTTCTATGGCGGACCGATAAACAATGTCTATGAGAAGGTTGGTGCTGTGGATGAAAACACGAATGGAGGACCGGGAGGGAGTGGAAATGGTGCGGGCCAGCAAGGCAACAAACCAGAAAAGAAAAAGGGTGATGACAATGGTCAACCCAAAAAGCAGGGCAGCGAA